AGAAAGAACTTTTGGCTGTTGTGTTTTCTCTTGAAAAATTTAGGTCTTATATCTTAGGGTCTAAAGTAATTGTGCATTCAGACCATGCAGCCCTTAGGTATCTTTTGAGTAAAACGCAATCGAAACCTAGGCTCATTCGGTGGATTCTCTTGTTGCAAGAGTTCGATGTAGAAATTCGTGATAGGAAAGGGTGTGAAAACGTGGTCGCTGATCATCTATCTCGCATTGTCCCTACTGAGCATTCACCTACTTTGTATGAACATGTTGACATAAATGATAGCTTCCCATATGAGCATGTGAGTGAAGTAGTTAGTGTTCCTTGGTATGCAGACATTGTAAATTATTTATCAGATGGAGTCCTGTTGTCTAACCTCTCTTCCCAAGAGAGGAAGCGTTTTGTGTTGATGTGCAGGAGTTACTTTTGGGACGACCCATTTCTCTTCAAGGTGGGCAAGGATGAGATCCTTAGGAGGTGTGTGCCCGAAGAAGAACAATCAGATGTCCTTGCTTTTTGTCACGAATTTCAGTGTGGGGGACATTTTGGAGGTCGAAAGACTGCCCTTAAGGTCCTCCAATCAGGTTTATTCTGGCCGACCCTTTTTAAAGATGCTTATGTTTTTTGCAAATCTTGTGACCGTTGTCAACGAATTGGGAATATTGGTCAAAGAAATGAAATGCCTTTAGTTAACAATCTTCAAGTTGAAATCTTTGATGTATGGGGCATTGATTTTATGGGCCCGTTTCCCAAATCTTTTGGTTTTGAGTATATACTTCTTGCTGTAGATTACGTGTCCAAGTGGGTTGAGGCTATCCCCACAAGGACGTGTGATGCTAATGTGGTTATCAAGTTTTTGCAAGGTCATGTGTTGAGCAGGTTTGGATTTCCGCGAGCTATTGTGAGTGACGGGGGCAAGCATTTTTGTAACCGGATATTCGAGAAGCTGATGAAGAAATACGGCATTTCACATAAAGTCACCACCCCATACCATCCGCAAACTTCCGGGCAAGCAGAAACGAGCAACAAGCAGATCAAGGCTATTCTTGAGAAGACGGTGAACTCGTCTAGGAAAGATTGGTCCAGTCGTCTTGATGATGCATTATGGGCCCAACGCACAGCTTACAAGGGAGTCTTGGGGATGAGCCCGTTCCGGCTAGTCTACGGGAAGGCGTGCCACCTTCCAGTCGAAATCGAGCACAAAGCTTTTTGGGCAATAAAGCGGATGAATTTTGATCTTGATGCAGCCGGACGTGAGCGGATGTGGCAACTGTCGGAACTTTGAGGAACGAGGCTTACGAGAACTCCAAAATTTACAAAGACAAGGTCAAAAAGCTTCACGACTCGACCATTATCCGAAAGAACCTGGTGCCCGATATGAAAGTTCTCTTATTCAACTCCCGACTTCGTCTATTCCCAGGAAAGCTTAAGTCCCGGTGGAGCGGACCGTATATTATTGACGAAGTGTTATCTTTTGGAGCAGTTCGACTTCGAAATCCGGCGAATGGTGAATTGTTCGTGGTCAACGGGCATAGGATAAAGCCTTACTTTGAGGGTGAATTCGGGAAATACCATGTCGAGACCATCGGTCTAGGCGATGCCGTGTATCCTTGATCCAAAATTGTGCCGAGCTCTCGGCTTAAAACTGAGCAATTACTTGTACTTTTTATGTATATCTATATCTATATGTGTTTATTTATATTTTTGTTAAAAAATAAAAAAATAAAAAAAAAAAGAAAGACTGAATTGTTTCCAGGCATCGCGCCGCGGGACCACCGCGATCCGAACTGCGGATTCCACCTTGCATTCGCGTCGCGCCGCATCCGTTACCGCACCGCGGGACAGCTATATCGCAATCACTCGAGAAGTTGGACCCTAGCCCGGCTTTCTCCTACACCATCATCTTCGACCATCGGCCCGTCGACCACGGCCGACCACCGGCGCCCCGACTCTCTCACTCCCTTTCATCCATAATCTCTGAACCCTAACTCCTAATCTCACCTCTGGTCACCGTCCTCCGAACATCGGCCCGCCACCACACCTTGCCGGCATCATATCCGGCCAGCGAACGTCGTCCTCTCCGACAAGCAAGCACGTCCGTTCACCCGCAGCGGGTCACAGCCACACCACACGGCCCTTCACTCTTTCGAGCCCCTTCATAGCATATTCGCAGTTTGACGCCCGGTAATCGATATTCTTGTGATTTTGTGACGAATTTGAATTGTTTGGGTTGGATTGTGAAGTATTGGATTGGAGTTGGAATTATTTCGGGTTTCTTTTCACTCAAGTGCTCCACACCTTCTCAAGTCCTATTCTTGCACTCAAGGTGTTCGGTGAATTGTTCGTGAAAACTAGAATCGCAATATGGTGAAAACGAGGAATGCGGGTCCTTCCACGAGCAAAGATAAAGGGAAGGCCATCGTCGTCGCTCCACCCGAGTCATCGAACCACTCGGATTCCGATTCGGCGGAAGAGACCACTCCGTTAGCTCGAACCCATGGCATTCCGTTTCCAGTTTTTAACGACTCAGAGGTGGCCACGTACAAGCGACTTGCCGCCCGCACTATGCCTAATCCCCGAGCTATCGAGTGGGCTACGATGAAAGCTCTTCATATCGACGAACAAGTTCGGAGTTATTTGAAAGTACTTAACTTGGAGAAGTACGCGTCCCGTGACAATTTCACTGCCTTCCGGTCACTCACCTTGGAATTTTTTAGCACCATTGAGATGCACGATAACGGCAACTACCTCACTTGTCGCTTGGACGGGAAAGAGGTCAAAATTACGGATAAAGTTCTCTGTGATATTTACGGTTTGAAAACAACTGGTGCTCGCAAGAAACCGGGAGATTTCCAGACTGACAGACATTGGGCCTCTTTTTCACCATGCAAGACTTTCCATAAGATCGGGCCATCGGCGGGGTTAATCAAGGAGCTTCCTATTGCGGTCGTGCATAAGTTCCTCTCCTACCACATTTTCGGAAAAAAAGAGGCTAACAAGGTAAGTGAACAGGAGGTGTTCGTTCTGTGGGCTATGTGCGAAAAGAAACCGATATGCCTTCTCAATTTCCTCAAGCAAGCTCTTGTCGACATACGCCGGAAAACAGTGAGCTACCCTACCTTAGGTCATGTGGTGACCGATATTGTCAGATACTTCAAAATTTCGGTAGCTGTTGAGGAGGGCATCGGTCCGATGGGCATCGGCTATATCGAACTTAAGTCTGGGGGTTTTCTGGATAGGCATTTCAAGTTCCAGCCCTACACCGAACACAAATGCTACAAAGCTTACGTAAAGGAGATGAAGCGAGCCGCAGCTGAAGCAGCTTTGTCGACACAAGCCACAGGGGGCCCCTCTCAACAGGCGGCCGACGAGATTGCCGACCCGATCGAGCATACTTCAGGAGACGAGGAAGAGCCAGCCCAACTTCAGTCCCATCATGGCATTCCCGATGCCCTATCCGAGCAGGCGCCTAAGTGGTTCGTCGAGTATCAGAAACGGCAAGATGAGCATCAGACTCGACAGGAGGAGTACCTGCGAACCATCCATGCCGAGGTTAGTTCGCACAATGCTCGCTTGGAGGCCTACATCGCGAAAAATGACAAACGCTGGGACCAATGGGAAGAGACGCATGCCACACATGAGGCCCGTTGGGACCTTTGGGAACAGAAGCAATATGCCCAATGGAGTCAGTGGAATGATCAGTTTCAAGTATGGGATACCCTATGGAGCTCGGTTTCCGATCAGCCTTCCTTACCTCGACCGCCACCGTCGGATGCACAGTGATTTCTCACTGTGCTTTGTACGTTTTCCTTCTCTTTCTCTTTTGTTTGGTATAGCTTATTTCTTTTGAGTCGGTTGGTTGTGTGGTTCAACTCTCCTTCACTGAGGATCGACAATGGGGACATTGTCTGTTTTAAGTGTGGGGGAGTTTTTGCATGTATATGTGGCTGCGTGGTTGACCTGTCTAGCTCTAGGTTTATTTGTCCTTTGAGTCTTTATTTGTCTTTTGTTTGGTGGGCTAGTCTAGTTTTGAGTTTATTTGCTTTTCGAGTTTGGACATTGGTGAAATTCAGGATTGGTTAATGATTGTTTGATGACGTTGGAAAGATGTGATGATGATCTCGAGTGACATATTTTGATGTGGCTTGGTTGTTTTGAGTAACACTCATACATATACACCCGGTGAGATTTGAGCCATATTCATTTCTTGTGCGATATTGGTCTGAATGTTGAATAAATCAGAACTTGCCTTGAGTCTGCTGTGAAATAAGTTGATTAGATTTGTGATAGGTGAACATGATAAAGGCATTCTTTGCTATTTGTGTATCATTTTTCTTCTTTCGAGAATAATTTCCGCTAGTCACCCCTTTGAGCCTTACTTCTCATTTTTATTGTTGACCCCGTGTTGATAATGTTCGGAAAGCAGATTGGTGATGATTGTCGAAGTTGTGTTATAAAAA